AATTATTCTTTCTCACACACATTTTCTAATCATGCTGTGATTTGATGTGATTTTTAAAGGCAAATTCTTTACTCACAACCAGTGTTCGGAAAATCATTCTCAAATCTCATTCATTGAACCTCCCTGCGAGAATAAACTCACGTGTGAATGCGGCAAACAAAATTCACGCTTGAGATTCTCATGCATGTTCACGCACTCACACTCAAAACGCCGAAAAATCATTCCAGCTTTAAACTCATAAAAACCACTCAAACGTTAATTGATATCATGCCTATGCATGTTGTGTTAGTTTTCCACCCCTGCTGCACAAACAATAATAATAACAATGAGTAACGTCAAAATATAAAGCAATGAATTTTTGAACCTGAAAACTCATCGGTGATTTTTGCGACGTTGAATTTTGCAAGGCAAAACTCATAGGCGCATAAACTCCTGAGATTTGAGTTTTTGAGTTTTTCCGAACCAACATTGGTCGTAAAAAAGTGACATAAAGGATAACATTTCTATAAATAGTGTCTTTAGTGACAATTTGGTGAACAAAGTGACTTTTTCTTTTTATGTTAGATTTTTAAAAAAATAACAGAGGACGAACAAACATTTTAACACCTTTAGGAATATCTAGACAATTCATCTAAAAATAAATTAATTAAAGCTAGTATTTTAGCTATAATCGCATAATTGCCTCAAACAAGTAGGAACCCATGAACGAGAGCCATGAAGAGTTCAGGGTGTACATTTTCTTCTACGCGCAGACCGTGAACAGGGTGTCTACTCATCATGTTAAATAAAATTCCCTGAGTTTTCCAGGACTTCAACGCAACATTTTCAGTTAATCAATGGAACCTTTTTTTATGTTTACAAGTATGCTATTCAAATAATTCTATAAGTTATGAATCTTGAAAGCTTCTTATAGGCCAGCATCTTGGAAATTTTTTCCATTGGTCTGAAGAATCACATTTTATAAGCTAAGAATAAAAAAAATAAAAAACAAACTACCCTAATCTCGAAGATTTGATTTATCTAAATCCAGATTCAAGAGAGCTTCTCTAAGCATGAAGTAGCAAATACAACATTTTAAAGCCTCATATTTTCGATTTTTTTAAATCTTTTTTTCTGTGATCTCGACAAAAATTCTATGTATGAATTATCTTGATACTCTTGAAGTTCTTCGCATCATTTCTTTAGGATTTTTTCAATAATTTCATTAGAATCAACTCAAAATTTCCTCAGAGTTCGCCTTAGAACTCTCTCTGGTATTCCCTTAGAATTTACTCCATGATACTATAGAAATTATTTCTACATAGAAGGCTCTTTGATTCAGTCAACAGTTCTCTTAAATTTATTAATTAGGTTCGCTGTATTACCTAGGAATACACAAAGATTTCTCCTGAAGTTCTCGTGGAATTATTTTTGAAATACCCTTTAAATTCCACTCATAATTCTCTAAGAGCAGTTCCGTAGGCATAAATACGTTAGGCATACGGACATTAGGTATAATGGACGTTAGGCATAATATACGTTAGGCATAATGGACGTTAGGCATAAAATACTTTGCTGCTGTGCAACTATAGAAACCTGTTTCGAGCATTAAAAACAATGCTTAAATTAGGCTAAGCGTTAAACAAAAAATGATACAAGTTAAACAAACATAGTTTATTTAATAAGCACAGTTTGGAATCCATTATTTATCATATCATAAGTGACGTAGCTACATATTTACTTAGATCCAAGATTAGTAGCGATAGCGGTTAAGTAATCTGGCAATGAAAACTCAGCATAGTTTTGAACTATATGTTGAAATCAATTGCATCTAGACATAAAAAAAAAATCACACATTTGTTGAAATATATTCTTACACACATATTGTAATTGTCAAAGAAGAAAAGGTTTGCCTCAAAAAACAGCCCATGCAATGAAGAATGGTGAATTCTGTGGTTTTTCATTCAATAACAAAAAAACATACCGGCTGCTTCCAGGATTTCCTGCCATACTTTTCTATACAACGATTCTGTTTTTGTTGTCATCAGAATGAAAACTAGCGGAACCGTCTGCTGATGTGAGGAAGCGATACTTCCATGAACAGTGACGAGTTACCGAAACAAACAAGGAACTGTGGCAAACGTACCATCTGTAACCCAATACTTTTCCGTCGTAAGTTTTCATGAGTTCCAAAAATTAAGGTTCTTTCATTATTGTCACCGAAGTCAGCAATCAATAGACGGTCCCCATTATCATCCTTCTGGAATTCTTAGGGTAGATTATGCCTAACGTCCGTATGCCTAAAGTCGTGTACTCCTCCTAAGTATTACTTTGAAATTTACCTCAAAACTTTGTTGGAAAATTCCTTGAAACTTAGCTTAAACACCTTTGGAATACTTCTTAGAATTCGCCATTGAATTCTTTCCAAAATTACCTTCGGATTGTTCTTCTTCCCTTGTAATTATACTACAAATCCCTTAGAACCCTTTTGGATTTCTCTTTAGAATAATCCTTAGAATTATGTTGAACATTTCCTTTGAATCCTACTCAGGATTCCCTTGAGATTATACTCAGAACCTCCTTGGAATTCTTCATACGTTTCATCTGGAGTTCAACAGAGCAAACTAAGAAAGGAATCCTTATATTTCACGTAAACTATTCATAATAATTCTTCCTTTGGAATTCTCCTCTGAATTTTGTTGAAATCATGATAAACTTAACCTTAGGTTTGAGCTAGACGATATATCTTTAAGATAATCAAGTATAACGTCTTAACCAGATAAGGGTCTGTTCAAAAACTACGTAGACAGTTAAGGGGGGGGGGGGGTTGGAAATTGTCTACGTAGTGGGAGGGGGGGGTCAAGAATCCCAAAAAAAAACTGTCTATGTAGTTAATGAACAGCCCCTAACCAAACAAAAACGAACTGGTTACATTAATATATATATATAAATTCCGTCAACACATTTAAATTGCTTCACAGCGATATAAATGTGAAGAAGCTGACATCTCATTGTTCCCCTTTTGTCCACCTCAAATATTCACAAGCATTCCCAGCGATCAAGTGTTTATGAATAATCAACAAAGCATTCTTATACACTAGCAACCCCGCAATTTGATGCTGTCCTAAGTTTCAGCAACGTCACGAACCCCCTACATTCTGCCAGAAAACTTACTACTAATTCAAGGCCTCTTCCAAATAAGCTTCAATGGTCCATTTTTTTTCTTTGGTTTGTTTTTTCCGTCGATCTTGTTTTCCGTGCTGAGCACCAATGCTACCGACGTGCCAGGAAGGCAGCTCCCACACCTGGACCCTACCTCTCAACCCATCAACTCATGAACCGGGGACCAACGGCTTTACTTCCCATCCGAAGGAAGGCGTGATCAGAGATGTTATGCCTCAGAACATCCCAGCGGCGCCGACTGGGATTGAACCCAGGCCTGCTGGGGTGAGAGGTAATCACGCTTACCACTACACCACCGGCACCGTTGTGGTCCATTTATTGTTGTTTATCAAATAATAAATTCACTATTCTATATCTGTAATAACCTTAAAATTACTTTGTTTATAACTACTACTATTAAATCAAATATTAACAATCCATCATCACCATCGTGGCGAACAAAATAGTTTTCACAGTGCTAAAATATTTACCTATTAAAAAAAGTCATTATGACAGCTATCCATACAAAATAATCTTTCAAGATACATAATTTGTCAATTCATAATAATAATAAATTCACTAGATAACTGTTCAAAAGACAGCATTAACGTTTGAAATACAATGTCTTTTAAATTCTGTAAGTGTAGTTGCACGTATAATGTGTCTAGGCATCGAATTGAAAACATTTATTCCTTTAAAATGTAATAAATTTTGAGAGGCACAGGTCAAGAAATGTGGTGTTCTTATTTCATCCACAAAGCACTTCCTCTTTCAATTCGATCCGACAAATATCGAGGCAGCAAACCGTTAACTACTTTAAAAATGAACACCATAGTCAAATATACAATTATTTGTTTCACCGACAACCATTTTAATACGTCCAGAATCAAAGTTCACTTCTATTACATCGCAAAATTAAACGCATTATTTTATTCTGCAATCGCTGTAATCTCGATATTTGTGTTTCATTGGTCAGAATCAAAATGGCAGGGCAAAAGTCCAGATGAGGAGGGATGATTGATTTGTATAGCTGTATTTTACTGGCAATAGTTAAATCGTTTTAAATCGACATAGAATTCCATACTTTTTGGCAAGTTTCTTGACGACATTGTCAATATGAGAGTTGAACTTAAGTTCCTTTGAAATTCTCACCAAATTCATTGATTAGGGTCAATGCGCTGAGACACTCTTCCAAGGCCTTTATTTTTTTTTTTATCTGGGATCTTGGATATTTATTTTCGTTCATGATTCTTGAAAATTCCTCCAAGTCTGATTTTATTAGTTTCAGGGTTTCAAAACTTTGTCTATGTTCAAAAAAGTACTCATGATTCAGAACCCTAAAAAACAATTCAAGTTACAGAATTTATGGTGCTACTCCAGAATTATTATGTTCAAAGAATGAAAGTGTAAACAATAACACAATAGCCAAGTATTTGCAGCATACTGGTTCAAGAACTTAATGGCAATGACCTTATGTTGAACTGGAAGTTCTCCGCTGTATCACGCTGTATTGGTAGAGTATAATTGATAGAACAATCACAATCAGTCGATTATGAATTTTGAGCAATCTTTCTTAAAACTTTTCGACTATCCTGGCCACCTGCTTCGAACAGTAATTACGATTATCCACATAAAAAAAATAACTCATGGTCCATTTACATTTCTGCCCGTAACCACTATTGAAGCTTTCCCGCCTGCCCCCTCAGTCGGCTCAGTCTCTTTCTCTCTAATGTCTGGGCCAATTTGGTGTGGCTGGCAGCAAAAACAGAAAAAAAGGGGTTCACGAGAGCATTAGTAGACTCGCCAGTACAACGCCTAAATTTCAACGTTCAACCACCTCTCCTCCCGTGTTCACTTACCATGCAAATTGATGGTGCAGGTAGTATTGTTGCCACGATCCAGGACCACAACGCTGGTAGCAGCCATAATCGATTTGTTGTACTGGAACTTTTCCTTTTTCTTCCGAGGTTTAGCCTGATCACACATATACGCCCGGTTTTAAGCTGAACGATCGCGCCGCGGGAAAGAATCTTCTAGGAATCACGCTCGATGCAGAGCGATACAACTCACCACACCACCTTCTCCGGAGGCTGCCGGGTTGCCACGGCACACGGGTATTATCTATCCACTTGCGAAAGTGTTATCACCACCACTGTTGTTTATCACTTTCGGTCGGTTAGGATTATTTTTGAGCTAGACACTAGCTATCAGCTAGGGGGTCTGAACTTTGTAATGCACCGGACAAAAATATGATCCCACTGCGAGCTAGCACCACACGGCGGAGGAGAGTGAGAAAGTAGTGTGTCTACACTCGAGCACAACACCGGACAGAATGATGGAATGGATGATGGAGAAGAATGGGACTACACTGTATGCTGTATGGGTATGGACGGAGTCCCTGCGAGAATCACAACCACACTGCTTCACCAATGACAGCGAACTGAGAGAGCAGCAAAGACTCGGGCAAAAACAATCGCTCGACGAACAGCCAACAAAACGGAGTGTGCCGTGAGCGGGGATGCTCACTATTTATTTAAAAATTAAGAGGTTAACAAATAAATTAAGCTGTTGGTCTAAATTCTCAAAACATTTGATTACACTCAACGTTCGCTAAGTGAAAGACTTTAAACTGAAATGTTTTTTTTTTTATTAATTTTAAACAAAGTTTAGTTGCCGAACGTGAAGTTTATTAATGAATCATATTGTCGAGCAGTTGTGTGATGACCTTCTGGCAGCAAGTTAAAGCAAATGAAGCAATTAATTCCAGATGTTTCAAACTTAGCATAAATAAGACACTGTTTTCTCAAAGTTCTAGAAGAAAAAATCTTGAAATATTGTTCCAAGGAAAAGTTCGTAAGGTAGGAAACGTCATTTTGAGCTGTTCGAATGATGTGATACATTTATCAGTTAAGAAAAACATTCCTCTAAAATATACCGCTAAATTTTTCAGAGGTAGTCATAATTATTGATATTGAAAGAATCGAACAGTTGGCTAGACTTTTGCAATTAATATTAATCTAAAATTATAATAAGAAAAGAACACAGCCTAGTACTTCTACCTTATGCATCCCCAGAGTCTCACTCCAACACAACCATAAAACTTGGCCTTGCAAAAACACAACGCTGAAAATCGAAACGAAGCTCCAAAGGAAAACCGGCAAGAAAAAACAAACCCCGATTTCTCCGGCTCTTCCCTGCCACCCATTCAACAACCGAGCAACTCTCAATTCTCTCGCACCCACACACACACACACATATTTCCTCGCTCTTCTATTTTCTATTCGTTATGCACCCCGTCTCCCTCGCAACTCAACGCTAGCGCTCTTTGTGGCTCTTTGGTCCAGCAAAGGTTGCAGGTGGGTGCTTTGATCCTTCATTCTGACAGCGCCGAGCCGGTGGGTGGTGGATGGCTGGTTGGAAACAGCAGGTACCCAAAAGAAACTAGAGAGAGAGAACCAGAGAGGGGAGGAAAGCTTTCAGTCAGTGCAAAACGGAGAAGAAGCAAAAACAAAAACACATGATGAAAAACACAACAAACGGAGCTTTTGAGAGGTGGCTATCCTCCGCCCCTTTCGCGAGAGAGCACGCGTATAATATTGCACAAAAACAAACCGCGCCGCGACGAGCGAGTTGGGGATTGTCAAAATTGGAAGCTTTTTGTCCGAAAGTCAGAAAATTCTACACACCAAGTGTGGAGACGTGCACGGCCAATGAGAGTAGGTCGGATTCGACTGAATAAAAAAAATGTGGTAACTGAGGTTACTCACTGAGTGAGTAAAATTTTGCTAGATTTTCCTGGAAAAACTTCTTGAATATGAGGGAAATCCAGAGATATTTCACTCAGTCTATTAGTATTCTCCTAGACTGAACAAAATTTGCGTCAGTTTTCCTGATATTCAAGCATTGTTGTTTTTTTCTCCTGAAAATGCGAGGATAATTTCACCATTCACTGAGTAACCAAACTTTTTTAAATTTTGAGTCGAATTCGGCGGTTGTAAAGTTGTTTATTATTTTCTTCTGACTAACCTAAAACTGTATGAAAATGAGTTTGACAGCAATTTATTATGTATTTTCCTCGGATTTTCACTAACATGCTCTCACAACTAGCTCATAACACGCTCTCAGTTAACTTATAAATCACAAAGTGTTTTTTCAGGTTTGACCAGTAAAAACTTCCCGAATATGAGAAAAGTAAAGATTGGATTTACTCAGTCTATTGGTACTACTCCAAGAATGAGTAAAGGTTGGCTGGTTGGTTGGATGTCTTTATTAAGCAGATTTTCAGCCAGACGCTGGTTCATCTCTGAAATGAGTAAAGTTTTCGTCAATTTCCCTCATTTTCCGGCCGATTTTTGAGGTTTTCCACAAGAAACCATGAGGCAAATTTACTATTCGCTGCGTACCTGCAATTTTGGCGATTATGAGTGAAATAAACTCAAATTTGGGTCATTCTAAATCAGCCGTGCAGACAGTTTGAGTGGAAAATCTGCCAAATGAATTTCCGAAATTGTGTGGCAGCAAAAAATTCCTATTAAATCTCGCTTGATCCAAGACACGGACCTATTGTCGTGCAACATAATACCGAAGGGCAGTTAAGATTATGAACTAAAACATTTTTTCCTTGATTAAATTTTGTTTTCCGTACTGAGTAACAATACTACCGATGCCAAGAAGGCAGCTCCCACACCTGGACCCAAATCGATACCGACCTAAGGAGTTGTATCATTACTAATACTAAATTTTCCATTATGAAACCAAAGTAACCATTGCCAATTCAGTGCCAACATTTCAAAGGGGCGTAATTGCTTTTGTAATCAATGGCTTTAGCCGTTGATTTCTCGCAACTAAAAGCTCATTCCTCCAACTTAACCATGCTCGAGACCATGCTAATTGGTAGAGGAAACTTGTTCTAGCTGTTGGTGTCATTAAATTCATGAGTAAAATTTTACTCACGAAAAATTGACGACTAAAGCCATTGTTTACAAATGCAATTACGCCCTTTTGAAATGTTGGCACTGAATTTATAAATAATAAAAATAATAGTAAAAAATCGACTTAAAGAATACAAGTTGATGGGTCCTTAGGTAGGGTCCAGGTGTGGGAACTTCTCCATACCGCTGGTAGCATTAGTACTCAGAACGTAAAACAAATCAAGGAAAAAAAACATTTTATTTTTTAATTCTGTTCTAAAAAATAATTACATGAGAAAATTTGTAGATTCTTTAACGACAATAAATATTAATGAAATTAAACATTTACCGAGATCACAGCTTTGAAAAAAAAAAAAAAACCAGCTAACAACGCGAAATTTCCAAGGCTCATGAAATTTGATTCTAATTTCCACGGAATCCAGTTCTAAAATCTGCTTTCAAGCTAGTTCTGAGTAATTCTAGCCCAGGTAGTTCTGAGTAGATTTTTTTGAAAATTAATAATATGGGAATAATATGCATAGAAATTACCGAGGTTAACTACTAAGGATTTTTGAGAAAATTTAGAAGAGAATTCTTAGGAATGTTTCACGATAATTCTTAGGACAATTTTGAGGCAATTCGAAGGAGAAATCCATGGGATTTCTGAGGAAAATTTCAAGAAGTTTCTTGGACAAAAATAGTCCAGAACGTAGTTCTATGGGAATTTTTCGAGCTTACTTACGGAGTATGTTAAAATGAATTTTACAATGAAATCTGAGAATTTTGTGAAATTCAGGTTACCAAGTAGAAGGTGACCTGCGGACCCTTCGCAGACTACGAGGCTGGCGAAGTGTGGCCATGGATCGAGTAGAGTGGAGATGACTTCTTCTGACAGCAGAGGACAACAAGGCCTTAGCCTGATTGGTAAGCTAAGGTAAGAATTTCAAGTGAATTCTTATTTATAAGAAATTTAAAAGGAATCCTGAAAATAGTTCCAACGTGAAAGCAAAATGTCAAGGCAATTCAATATATTCCAAGGGAATTTAATTCAGAGGATAGATCCATCGAAATTTTCGGGAAAACTTCAAACGAATTCCAAAGAGTATTCCAATTGTTATATTAACATGCTACCCCATTACCCTAGCAGCACACATGTCACTGAACAATTGTGGTTACTTGTGTACCACTTATTCCAGTCACAATCAAGTTGTAGCAGCTTATTTTGATCGAAATGTGCTACTTGGGTAGATCCCTATTCAAATGTGATAGCAGCAAGCATGGGAAAATTCGTTTCATTTTGCATTTACTACTCACTCACAGGCATACAACATCAGAATCGAGCAGTAGCTTGTGCGAGTCGCACTAATTTCGTTCGTATTCTCTTTGCTTCTATTTTCTTCGCTGAACGCAGAATTGAGCAAAACAGACAGCTGAGCGTAACATGAATAATTTTGAGTGTAGTAGTATTGTGGATAATTCTTCGCTTGTTATTTTTTGCATGCTGAGCCTTTTACAATTGACCACTTTGTCAAGCAGTTTTGGCGTTTTTTTATGAAACGCACAAATGTTGGCTACTTTTCTCGTGGTTCTTGAAGAAAAAAATCTCAAAATAATGTTTTATTTCAAAGTTCGAGTGGTAGTAAACGCCATTTCAACTGCTCGAATGAAGTAGTTAATTGCATTCTGCTGAGTGCACGGAGTGAGAATTTTGCATTTTCTAGATTTAAACATAAATTGATACATTTAAATTAGTATTAACATGGAGAAAAGTATTATTTTGTAATACATAAACGTTAGCGCCACTCAAATACTATTAAACTGCTGTGGCCAATTCAACTAATTTAAATCACTGAGCCAAAACAATATCTCACTCAGCTATTTAAATCGTTAGCGTTCGGTTTTTACGCATTCAATCTGGTTCTCCCTCAGTAGAAAAAATGGTTCGGTTGCCTTTCAGTGTATCCTTCATCCGTTCTAAAGGGTGTTCCACATCAAATTGCATCACGAAAAAAAAAAACGCTGTAGAAAATTACCTATTTGACCGATCCTTTTCAAACTTTCAGGCAATAAAATATAACCCATAAGTAAGCTTTTGGCATATTTATATCATTCAACTTCAATACCATAACCGTACGCTCGCAAATGACGCTTAACTCCACGCATTAGATTCCGTACAACATCTGGCTGCAGATTCTTCTGTACGGAAACCCACTTTTTTATGTCTTCCTCAGGTTTGACCTCCTTGGGATGCTTCCGTAGTGCCTGCTTCATAATAGTCCAGTATTTTTCGATGGACCTTAGTTCGTGTTGGGGGGGGGGGGGGCTTATGTACGAAAGTGGCCCCGTTGGCTTCGTACCCACTCCAGGACATCATTTGAATAGTGACACGAAGCTAGATCCGGCCAGAAGATCGTAGGGCTCTCGTGTTGCTTTAACAGAGGAAGCAGACGCTTCATTAGATACTCCTTGAGGTAGATCTCCCTGTTTACAGTCCCGGTAGTCACGAGCGGCGC